GCTTATTTATTTTGCATGCTATTTCAATACACAAATATGCCCAATCATGATCCTTTTACTTCAGTTTACCAACTACAGTTAGTCCCCGACTTACGATGGGGTTCCATACTAACGACTCTGTCTAAGTTGGTTCTGACGTAAGTTGAATACCCCTTTTTTGTTTTTAGTTTTCATTATTACTGCCTTTTATTATCAGTGTCTTTATAAATCCAATCTTTGAACATCTGTGGGTGAACATCTGAGAATGATAATATCAGCAGGTTACATACTGCAACACTGTATGTAGTACATATTGCTAATGATAAGATGTACCAAAAAAAAAAGAAACACGGATGGTGGTAAGTGCAGTTCATCGTAACTTGGATACGTCATAAGTTGGGGACTACCTGTAATAGATTATGTTCACATGGAAGAAAATAGATGAAAAATATAAAAACATGAAAATACATAGTATGTAATTGGAAGTGGTTTAGGTTAATAATGGTGGAGTGGACTGGATCAAAATAAGTTTTTTTTTTTTTTTTTTTAATGTGGTCACATTCTTTTTCACACTGGACACAGGGAGGAAAAAGACATTTATTCTTTGTGAAAGGGATGGGGGGAATGAAGAAATGGAACGAGAGACAATTCTGCTGTACTTGACGTAGCAGGGAAATTAACTTTGCTTCACCTTGTATTTACAGTAGCTCATTAGAAGTAATTTTTTTCCCAAAGGAAATAATTAGTAATAATTTGTAAGTCGAATTACTTTTTTTCCTGATTTTGAAAACTGATAGCAGTTCATTTTTGACATTTTGTACTTAGATAGAGGAACTGCGTACACAACTAATGAAAGCAGAAGGTGATCGAAAGGGTTTACAACATCAAGTATCCCAGATTTCCAAGCAACAGTCAAACCATCAGGATGAACAAGCAGATGACTGGAGGTTTAGAAGAGGTAAAATTCTGATTTGTAAATGTGTAGGGTTTTTTTGGGGTTTCTTACAAAACGGAGTCCTTGGGTGGTGCAAACTGTTAACATGCTTGGCTACTAAGCAAAAGATTGTCAGTCTGAAGAAAGGCCTGGTGATTTACTTCTGAAAAGTCAGCCACTGAAAACTCTACAGAGCACTGGTCTACTCTGGCACATGTGGGGTTGTCATGATTCAGAATCGACTTGATTGCAACTGGTCTTAGACTACATTCATTTTATTGGGCTTTTGTCATCATATCTGTTTCTTGATCTACTGCAAGGTTTTCCAGTGGGTTAAGCATTATCTGGCAGCCAGCCTTGATATCTTCTCTGCCTGATTTCTAAACCCATTTCAGTTGTCAGAACTGCTCATCTCATGGGACTTTTCCTTAGAAAGAACCAGCAAAGCCAGTAGTGGATTTTTTTTTCCAACTGCCAGCTCCTATACCTAAATGTGTGTGTCTGTGTGTTTGTCTTTGTACTTAAACTGTAAATATCCCCAATGTTTTACTTTCTCTTGTTCCAATTTTCAATATATATGAACAACTAAAATTAAGAACTTATCTTTTTTGTTATCTGGAGATTGGTGACAAAAGTAAATCACCTCCCCCATGTGGTCATGAATCTTTGAGCCATATGACTGGCTTTTTCTTCTATGGATTGGGAAGCCTTTTTGTTTGCAAATGTTAGAATACCTGCTCAGCAGAGGTCTTGATTTAGAATGTGAAATTTAATGACTTTGTATGTATTTCTTTTTGAAAGTTCACGTTTATCAAATATGATATCCAGATTGTATGATAGTTTCTAATATGCTTGTCCGGATTGCTCAGCTTGTAAATTATTTCAATAATGAGACTTCTTACTTGAATGCCCAAATTATTAGAGAAACTCTTGCAAGC